TTGGTTTCCTCATCTATAACATGGAGTGATACTTGATAAAGCTGTGATGTGCACCAAATGAGACTGTAAACATATACACGTCTCTGTAGTCCAGCACACAGTACATGTGCGGCCAATGCTAGCCTGAATCAGCGTGGAGCAGAGCACAGTAAACCTGGCTTATGTAAATAGGGAAGGGCGGAGGGGGTGAAGGGTACACAGGTAATGGGGAAAAAAAAAAAAGAACCAAGATATATCATGTACAGGTACAAACACCCAATGAGAAATGTAAATGAATTGTGTACCTAAAATGTGCCAATAAAAGAACTAAAAAAAAAAAAAAAAAAACCTGGCTTATGTAGGTGGGAAATGCCGAATGTTACTTCATGGCATTATTAGAAAGATACCGGAGAGACATAGCCAGGCTGCAGAGCCACAGACCCTGCACAGAAGAGGTGTGGTTTATTTGTTGTTTTGATTAGTGAGGTTTAAAATTTCCATTTCTGTGTATTAACACCCAATAGTGATGGATGCCAGTTCTGTGGGTTGGCAGGCTGGGCTTTTTTTTCTTTTCTTTTCTTTCTTTCTTTATTTATTTATTTTTGGCTAGTGAGGGTGTACACTGGTGCAACCACTGTGGAAATCAGTGTGGAGATTCCTCAAAAAACTAAAACTAGAGGTTCCATTTGACCCAGCTATTCCCGTTCTTGTCATCTTCCCAAAAGAATTAAAAGCATCAATAGTGATATATGCACACCCATGTTTACAGCAGCACAGTTTGTAATAGCTAAATCTTGGAAACAGCCCAAATGCCCATCAACTGACAAATGGATAAAGAAGATGTGGGGTTTTGGACAATGGAGTACTACTCTGTCATAAAGAAGGATAAGCTTGAAACATTTCTAACTAAATGGATGCACCTTGAGACCATGCTTTTGAGTGAAATAAATAGGACACATGTTTAAATACCACATTGCTTCTCTGGTATGAGAAACTTAAAGTATAAATCGGGACCAAAATGTATAAAAGATATTGGGAAATGAGAAGAAAATGTTCAAATGAGAAGGGGAACAAGGGAAGGGAAAGGGGAAAAGAAAGAAAGGACAAAGAAAAAATGGAAACAAAGCTTTTGTAAACAAGGAGGGGAAGAGGGGTTGAGGGGAGGGGAAGGGAATGGTGAAAACAGGAAGCAGCAAGATATATCATGTACAGGTGCAAATGCCCTATGATGAATGCTATCATCATGTATATCTAAAATGTACCAATAAAATTAAAAAATAAAGAAAACGCCATGAGGGTTTCTGGTGCTGGAAACCAAGGTGGGGGATGTGGGAAGAAGCAGGAAGACCTTCTGCAGAGTCCAAGGAATGGCTGGGTTGTCACTGCAGGTGCACAGGGCAGGTTGTCACACCGTGGCCATCTAAGGTATGATTAGGATCATGCTACATGGAAGAATAGGGTTTAAGAAGCTGTAAAACTTAGTTGCTTCCCATCCTAAGCCATCCTAGTTTCCCAACTGGAATAAGGACAATTCTGGGACAGCAAAAAAAGAGGAGAAAAGGAATTAAAACATGGCAAGAAGCAGAGGTGGGATGCCAAACTGAAGTTATAAATCCCCCCGCCAAATCCACCTACTAACGTATCCACACACCATGTATCTTGAGGTCTCCTGAGTGCTTCTGCTCTCTTTAAAGTAGATCATCTAAGTCCCACTTGCTGGCTATCATTTCTCCCCGTGGATCTCATGTTCTTATTGTTTGTAGAGCAATGTCTGGGTCTGCCCTTTTAAAACTTTTCTGCAAGAACGTATAACTTGTTAATGCTTTTTTAAAAATAAAAAAGCACATAAAAATACAGTACCTCTTCATTTGTGTTTCTTCAAAAGCTCATGGGTTTTCTTTGTAGAGCATGGAGTACTTTGTCCAGCATAAAAATGTTACAAATTATCAGAGCAGGGAGACCCCAACAGTATGTACCATTTTTATGTTTATGGTATGGAAGGATATGTTTATAATAAATTACATTTTCATCATATATCAGTTAACTGTAAACAAAATATGCTGTTTAATAAAAATGCCATAGCTGTAATAATCAATGTTTTATTGGCTACTCAAGTATGTTTTATATTAAAGAGATCATATTTTTATGTCTTTATAACCACATGACAAAAAAAAACCCCAAAACTGCATGACAGCTTCATGATGTAAGAAACCTATCCCCGCAGTGTACACTCACACCTCCTACACTCAGCATAGTACCCAACCCAAGACAGGACTCCAGTACACTCTGGGAGTAAAAGGATGCTAATTATATTACCCTCCACAGGCAGAGGTGGCTGAGATCCTATAGTCAGAGTCCAACGACCATTGTAAGAATGATACCTGATGCTTCCACCTAAACATGAATCATCTCTGGAGTCCTGTTGCAGTCCATGAAGAATGCAGAAAGTGGGAAAGAGGGGTATTTTAGGCCATCCCAGAACTTTAGATTTAGATACAATCTTGGAGTCAACATTTAGTCTTCCCAGCCAGTTTATTGTTCCTCTCTAACACATCATTGGTGGAGATCATCTGAGAACACTTGAGTTGGTCAGCTTTTTGTCACTGTTTTATGGTTTATATCTGGATGTTCCAAGCCTCATGAGCTCAAAGGCCAGGCTTTTGAAGGGTAGATTGAATCATGGGGTGTGACAGCTAAATGTGATGGTAGGAACTGCAGATGGTTACAAGGGCTGGGTCACTGGAGAGGGACCTGGAAGGGTGTATCTCCCTCCCCAGGTCCTCCCTTCTTTCTCTGCTTTCTAGCTGCTTCCATGAGAGCAGCTTTCCTCCATGCCAGGCCCTTCCACCATGCTGCAGACCATGCAAGAACTGAAATTTCTAAAAATTATGGCCAAAATAAACCTCTCCTCCTTTAAGCTGCAAGTGTCAGGTATGTCTCAGAGATGAGGAAGGTGACTAATATACACTGTGACAAAACATCTGAGATAAAAGAGGAAAGGTTTATTTTGGCTCACGGCTTCAGAGGTTTTGTTGCATGGTCAGCTGGCTCCATTGATTTTAAGCCTATTGCAAGCATGAGGCGTTAGGATGGAAGAGAATGTCAAATAAAAGCATCACCTCATGGTAGCCAGGAAGAAGGAAGAGAGAGTGGAAAGAGGAAGGGGTCCTGGATCACACATAGTACCTGAGGTCATGCCCCCATGGTTAACTCCCTTCAACGAGGCCCCACCTATTTTCATCATGTCCCAACAATGCTACCAAATTCTGATCTCATCAGTGGATTAATCCACCAGTGAAGTTAAAACCCTCGAGACTGAATTACTTCAAGCAGCTGAGCCTTTAACACAGTGAGACAAAAACTGGAGGCCCTTTGAGACAACGATCACGACAGGAATGAAGAAAACCTCTTCTTCACCAAACACTGGATTGCTTTTTTAAGTTTTTCTTATACTGAATAGAATCTGCTTCATGTAATTTCTACTTAAGGCCCTTAACTGTGTATTCAATGCTAGACAAACCAAATGCATACTCTCACAACCTTCATTCAAAGTGACTTTCCCCCACTGGTGAATGAGTTGCATAATGCAAACTCAAAGAGAAAATCACCTTGAATAATTGCATGACAATACGTGGAAAGTTCAAGGGCTGTATATACCGTCTCATGGTTTTGAACTGTGTGGTTAAAGATATTGAGAGTTGACAGATTAGTCAGGGAATTTTTCAAGAGTATTAATTACAAACTTTGAAATCTTGGTCAGTGAAAGTTCATCTTAGCGCATCTTGCAAATATGATCAAAGTCTTTTCAGTACTGATTTGATGATTCTTAACCACAATGTGTGAAGAATGAATTTTTCATTAGAAATCACTGATGTAATAGAGCACATTTTCAAGGAAGATGAATCACTGAACTATTACAATTCATGCTCTTCCCCCACCTGCCCTGCCTCCCTTACCCCTGCGCTCTATTTCTTTGAGCACTTGACATGGCATTTGGAGCTGCTGCAAAAAGAAACTGTGGTCTTAGCAACAACAGTACAGCTCAGAGAGAACCCCACAGGAGGGTAAAGGTGGAGTGGTGTAAATGATGTTTTGAAAACCACGAAAATAAACCTGGGGGTTTACTGTGATTTGGGGAGTGAAAAATTTACAACTGGCTGAAAATGTGAAAACGGAGGAGTACACTGTGTAGCTGGTTAGGGGAAAAGAAAGCAGTCCTGCCCTTGTTCTGTTCTAGAAAAAGAATCTATTATTTGGGTAGCTTTCTTTTTTACTGAGAATAAAAAAAAGCGCTGGCATCTAAACTATGGAAAATGAAATAAAAATACGCCCAGTGCATTTTCTCCAAATCACTGGCCTGCTCCTCCTCCTCCCCCACTCTGCCAAGGGTGTCTTGTCTATGCCTTCCAGTGACTGTCAGGACAACCTCGGAGCGTGCGTGGCTCCTGCAGGTGGGTTTGCACAGATGGACGGTGCACAATGGTGCCAACCCCTAGCCCACCTCCGCCGTCCCACTCTGCCCAGTCTCAGGCAGCGTTGCCTGCTGCCAGCCGGTCTGAAGGCGCCTATCTGGGGACAGTGGGGCAGGTCTCTACCTTCACCTGTTCCGAGGCTCTTCCTGGTCAGTTGCCTCTGCGCGCCAGAGGGTGGCACCCTAGGCACTCCGGAGGTGGAGTGGAAGGGAGAGTAAAGGAGGAAGAAAGGCGGAAGGAAAAGTTCATTCTCAGACCCGGCCTCCAGTTTCCCGGGTGAATTAGGGGGCAGAACCCCCTTTCATAATCCCTTAGGGTAAAATCCTAAGGTTCTGCCCGACTAGATATCAGAGACGAATTTCTAAGACGAAAAAGGCTTGCGAGGGTTATTTATAACCAAATAACTTGTTCAGTCTGGGAATCCGAAGAGAAGTTAATTTCTGCGGCCGCTGCGGACACCGGTGCTTGGGGGTGGACGGAAAGCCCCCGGGCACTGGATCGCGCTGGTGCGCCAACACCTGACCTGTCCTTCTGTGTCATGTTTTGCAGTTGCTGGATTTGTGTGACTCGGTGAAGGATGATGCCCTGAGGGTGATCTCCGCCTTTAACATTCCACGCACCAATCGCCGGAATTCCCAACGCGCGGGCCACCTGGGCCTTCCACCTGAACCGAGACAGCGGCTGGCCGGGGAAGTGGCTCGCTCGCTCTCCGCGGCCCAAGCCGCAAGCTAAACTGTGACTGGAGTGGAGGGAACTGCGGTGGCTGGTCGGGAACTGCGGTGGCTGGTCGGCAGCTGCTCCACAGGGGCCTAGAAATTGGGCAGAGGCCAGGATGGCACGTGCGGTGTCGCAGCCCACTGGGATTCTGGTCACCGAGCAGCAGTCTGGGACAGGCTGGCGAGACGCGGGGAATGCGGCTGGGAGAGACCCAGACTGCCACCTAGACAGTGCAGTGCTTCACTCTCTCCAAAAACCCTGCCTGGCCCGGCCGCGACCTCGCCCAGCCTGGGCACCTGATCCCCCCACCCCCACCCCCGCAGACAATCAGGGTAGGCCCTCCCTAACCCTCGCCGTGCGAGCGCGCCCCACAGCCGGGTGTCGCTAAAAGTCTCTGTCAGCGGTGACTCAGATTCCCAGTGATTTAGAAAACCTCTGGTGCTGGGTGGGGAAAAAAATCAAAACATAAAAATCAAACACCCTCAGGCAAAAAATAGAGAGGAAAAAAAGAATAAAAAACCGTCCGAGCACGGGCGGGCAAAGGTTCAATTCAGGCAATGTTTTTCTCCCAGGGAATCAGATCTTCTTGGGCTCTGCGAGGGAACGCACCCGCGGAAGGGAGCGGGAGCCTGGATTTGAGTTCCGTGCGAAGGGCGAACTCTGGCTGGTCCTCTCGGGTAGGCGGCTTCCGGAGCGCAAGACAACGCGCGAAAAACATTTTACCGCATGAAATCAATCTGTCCTTTAGAAGAGCCCAGATGCAAAGTGTGATAAAGAAATTAAGAGATGGGAAAACGCTCCCGCTCCTTGGAGAGGTTGGGAAGGTGGGCCCAGGAAACACTCTGCAATACATTGGTTTCGGAACTTGGAGACCACACAGTCCGCTGCTGCGGTCCGTGGATTTCCCATTTTGCAAATCGCCCCTACCCGACTTCATTCCTCTCTCTTCCCTACCAACACGTCTACCGTCTGCCGGTAGGGATAATGCCCCGCCGGCGTCAGCAGCAGTGACGTCCGGGATCGGCGACCCGAGGCTCCCTGGCTGTCCCCACGCTGCCCTTTGCGCTCTCTAGCGCAGTCCAGGGCCGCAGGGGCTCGCGATCACCTAGCCGCTCGACGCTCCCTAACACAGCCTGGGTTGCCCGTAACAAGAACCGCTGCCTCCGGGCCAGCTTCCTTGCTGAGTCCTTAACAGCACTAAGCAGGTTGCTTTCCTCGATGCCTTTGGGCTTTCTTTTTCCTAAGGATTCGCAGGGGCAGGCGACGCGGGGTGGCGAAGATACTCAGGAACAGACGGTGAGCGACGCCGCTTCTTCTGTGTGGCTCTTTTCCGGTCGGAGTCTGCGTCGCCGACACCGCAGAGAGCGCCGAACGTGCCGGCGAGCTGCTGGTTTGAGGCTCTGCGCCCGCGTGCAGGTTACGTTGTTTTCCCCATCGGGACGCCGTGGGCAGGAAAGAGTGCGGCCTGCGAGTCGGTATCGCCGCGTTCCCGCGCCTGTCAGTCCCTCTCACTGAAACCCCCGGGCGTTCTTCGGCCCCTCTGGGAACCCGGGCCTCCATCTCGTTCTAGACTCGAAGGAGACTTTAACCTGGGGCTCTGCTGTGTCACGCTGACGTGAGGTCTGCTCGTGAATTTAAAAGATGACCAAGGCGGCCGGATGGCGGGACAAGGCCTCCACCAGCTCCTCCACGCCGAGGCCCCTTCCTGGTCCCCACCGGGCTCGGAACCCAGTTTCCCTAATCCCCACCTTTCAGGGTGTAGTAGGGTGTTCCATTTCCGCCCAAAGTTCCACTCCCCCGCCCCGCTGCCTCAACGCCCGGGGCTGCGGACCGAGCGCAGGAAGCAGGAGGCGCAGGGTGGCTGCAAGTCGGGACAGCGGACTCGGGTGCAGACACCCGGAGTTCCCGGGGAGAATTATGGAGTGGGGCTGCGGCTTTCCAGGAGAGTGGGGACGCGAAGGGGGGGTGGTGGATACTGCGCCCCAGGTCCGGCTCTGACTTCAGCAGCCCCACCCGCGCCAGCCTGGGCCCGCCGAGGCACAGTTCCCGCCAGTCCTTAGCGAGCCCAATACATCTCGAGGGCTCCAACCAGGCCCATGCACAACCTTCTCGCCGGGAGGCCAGGCTCTCCTTGGTGCCTCTTTTCCTTAAAATTCTTTTGAGTTGTTTCAACTTCCCTATTCTATTTGCTCTGCGCACACGCGCATCCCGCCCCACGCCGGGGCTGCGGGAAAGACGCCTCCTGGGATCGCTCCTGGCCGGCTCCTGGACTCCTCACCGCAGGCTGTCTCACGAGAAAAGCTGGCGAGTGCCTGTTGGGTGACGGGGGCGCCTAAGTGTCGTGTGGGAGGAAGGTGACCATTCGCTGATCTGGGTCCTGCCTGTGGGAGAACTCACAGACCCAGGGACCCACATCGCACCCGCGCGTTTCTGAGGACCACCCAGGTCTCCTCGCCTGGCCCGAAGGGCTGAGAAACTCAGCACAGCCTGGACGCCGGGCGCAGGCCGCGGCCGCCACCCGGAGGGGGGCGGCGATCAGGCACCGCTGTGGGGGATGGGTGCGCAAGCCGCCATCTGCCCGCCGAGTCACTCGGGTAAACACGCCCGGGCCGCCGGCGTGCGCTGCAGGGAACCCGGAGGGACCACCCCCGCCTCTACCTGTCCTCTGCCTGCACGCGCCGGCGGCCCAGGCGGCGCGGGGTGGGGCTTGCCCGCCCTGCCGCGGGGGCGGAACCTAGCGGGGGCGGAACCTAGCGGGGGCGGGGCCCGCGGTGATTGGGCGCGGGCGCTAGGCCGCCAGTCTGAGCTGGGCTGCAGGGCCGCGCAGGTTTCACTTCGCTCTGCGCAGCCTCTGGGCCTTGAGCTTGGTGGAGCGCTGCGTCCCGCGCTGTCGCCGCCAGTGTATTCTTGCAGTTCTCCTGCGAGCCTTGCCCCACTGCAGTCAGTACCGTGTCCGGCAGCTCGATTTGCCTTGCTCCCGCCGCCACCGCCTCGGCGCCCTTCCCTGGCCCTGGTACCCCCAATGTCTGACTCTGACTCCCGAACTGAGAAGCGCAAGGTAAATACCTCCGCATCCCGAGGAACGGGCTGGGGGATGGATGGAAGACGGGCGCCGGAGCCCGAGCGGCTCCATCTACTGCCGGCTTCCCGCGCACGTGCAGGCCGAGACGCGCCAGTCCGCACCGTTTATCGCCGGGCGGGAGGATGCGATCCGTGCAGGCCAGAGTCCCTCCCGGCCAGGTCCATTCTGAGGAAGGGTCGTCGGCGCCGAAGCTGCGGCCACTTGGCCCAACTGTAGCTCCGGCTGGGATGCTCGCGGGTTTGGCGGAGCAGAGCAGGCGGAGAGCGCGTGCTCTCGGCGCTGGCCGGGAAGCCGGGGACTCGTTCCGCGGTACCAGGCTGCGCACCCAGCCGGGAAGCCTCGCCGGCGGCGAATCGGCCGCTCCGTATGGCGGGTCTCGAGTCTTGCTTGGCTCTTAGGTGTGAGGGTTTGCGGAACTGTGGTGGTGATTTAACTTGACAGGCCTGGGCTTTGTTTTTTACACATTCAAGCAGAGGTTTCAAGGCAGCTGCCGAGGTGTCCCTCCTGGACGTTCCTCGGGGTCCTGCTAGATCTGCATTCTTCGGACTGTGTCAGCCCCTGGATCCACAGACAGTTAGAGGCCAAGGGCCTCTCCCGGACCACCACGGGCACGCAGGGAGCGAGCCTGGGTCAGTAGAACTTGCTCGGGCCTCGGGGTCGGTCGGTCTGTCGTAGCGTCTCGCGCGTGCCCGGTTGCACCAGGGCGCCCACGCGGTGCAGGTGGGCGGCTCCGTGCCCTCGGGGCCTGCTTTCCCCGGGGTGGGAGCTGCTTCCTGGAGTGGGAGCTGCCGGTGGAGGGCCCGCCGGACGCCTGGATGGATTGTGGGTGTACACCCTCCGGGCCTGGGGTGGAAGCTCAGATTGGGTGCGTGTCCGCGGCGGGCGGGAGACGGGAGGAAGTTGCTGGAGTCTGGGGAGGGCATGCTGCAGCTGAGCTAGTGCAGCCTTTGGGGTCCTCACCCCGACCGGCCTGAACGTGCTGGTGAGCAAGACCCGGCCGGTACCGGGAGAGCGCAGGTCCTACATTGTCTCCAGGTGACCAGCGGCGGGAAGTCTTGAGGCGCGCGCGCGGTGTCCCAGCCAGGCCCGGAGGCGGGGCGGCCGAGGCAACCCGGGTCCCGGAGCTCGGGCCCGGGCTGTCCGAGCGGCGCTCGCGGGCGAGTTTGTCAACAATCGCCTCGCCTGAGGCGGCCGGACCTGTAGGCGCCGCCCCCGCCGCCGCGGCCCATTGGCTGCAGAGCGGAGCGACCGTGTGCGAGCCAATTGCAAACGCGGGCACCCGGCGCCGGCGGCGCGGGGAGGTCGGCGGTGCCTGCCGCGGCGGGCGCAGTGCGCGAGGGGAGGAGCGGGAGGAGGCGGAGGATGTTCCCGGCGCCGGCGGCCGGCGCAGCGCGGGCCAGAGGCGCGGCGCGCGAAGTCCTCGGCTGCCGGGCGCAGCGTGGCGGCGGGTGGGCGGGAAGGCGTGGGCTTTGCGCTGTGCTGGGGCCTCTGAACCCGGGCGCTGGGCTTAGTCCCCTCCGTCGCCTCCACGGTGACAATCAGGGGGCGCCGGTTCGGCGCAGGGCACGAGTTGAACGCTGTGGGGCCCGGGCCGGAGCGCGGACGCTACGCTCAGAAGGGAAGGGGCGGACGTGAGTGGCGGTGCGGCGGCCTCAAAAGGGGAGGGTCTGGCTGGAGGGGCAGCACGCCTAGGGTTTCGGAGCGCGCGAGGCTAGCTGTGGACTTTGCACGGGGGTCCTGGATGGCTTGGGGGAGGGGGTCCTGCACTTTGAGCGGTGCACCTAGAAGTACGGCTGCAGATCGGGCAAGTTCTGTCCAGTTCGGTGCTCGCGCTGGCGGGACCCGGAGGGACGGGGGCGGAGAGCGTCGGGGCCGGGCCGAGCCGCTCGGAGTTACAAACTCTATTGTGACGCACTTACTACGGCTGACGGCCGCTGCCAAACCTTCCCCAGACTTGCTGCCCTCAGCAGTTTCGGCGAACAATGGGGCCGGAGCAGGGAACGCTGCCAGCAGCAGCCTGCAATCGCTGCATCTGCGCCCGCTGCTGTGCTCCAGCACGGTATCTGATCCCGGGAAATCAGAGCCCGCTGGGAGTTTCTGACTTAATTCAAGTCTGTCCTGAGCAAAAAGCACATGTGAATAGGCTTCAGACGAACTGCTACTCTTGCAACTTGCGTATTTATTTACGTAGAAGCACCAGTTTCACGAGTGATTGACATTGTTGCTGTTTTGTTTGGTGGTTTGGTTCCACCTCTCCACCACCACCACCGCCACCGCCGCCAAAAAAGATAATAATACGTTTGTTATTTTAAGTGCATTTTTATTCCAGAGATTGTTGGAGGAGCAAACAACATCACAACTCGATTTTAATGTAATGTATTTAGGATGAACTCTTAAAGAGTCTTAATAGGTGGTTTGCTGATTTATTTCATTATAATTAATGTTTTACCGGATAACCTTAGATTTGTTTCTTTTACTTGCAGAAAAAAAGACCAAATGGCCAAGCAACCTTCCGATGTAAGTTGTGAGTGTGACAGAGAAGGTGGACAATTGCAACCTGCTGAGAGGCCGCCCCAGCTCAGGCCTGGGGCCCCTACCTCCCTACAGACGGAGCCCCAAGGTAATCCCGAAGGCAGTCCCGAAGTCGAAGGGGAACGCTGCCCCCACGGCAGCCCGCAGGGCCCGCTGGCCCCACCGGCCAGCCCTGGCCCTTTTGCTACCAGATCCCCGCTTTTCATCTTTGTGAGAAGATCTTCCCTGCTGTCTCGATCCTCCAGTGGGTATTTCTCTTTTGACACAGACAGGAGCCCGGCACCCATGAGTTGTGACAAATCAACACAAACCCCAAGTCCTCCTTGCCAGGCCTTCAACCATTATCTCAGTGCAATGGGTAAGCGAGACCCGGGTAAGAGGCAGTTGGCATGTGGTTGTTTGAATATCTGTTTCAAGGCTGTGTGTTAAATTTAAAGGCCTTTCTTAGAGCCCTTCAACTGTTGTATCCTATAAGTTGATGGGAATGGAGAAATTGTCAAAATATCAAGATGACATTCTCCTAAAATTTTTTGAAGCACTTTAACCTTGGGGCTGTAAAGCTTAAATCTCTGTTACCTTCATTAACTAGAGCATTTATCCATAGCATAGTTTAACTACTAATGTCTACATGCTAAGGACATTCTACTTGAAAAGGACCTGCTCAATTAGAGAAAACAGCTTACTGTAACTAAAGGTGTTAACGAGTTAATCACGTTCAAAAATAATGTGTGTAAAAATGAACTCAACATACCAACATAGAACTGTGAAAATGGTTTATTTTTTAACTCAAGTTCCTCTTTGGGTTTATTCAGAGTACTTGGACATAGTACTAATGAGATTAGGCTGCAGGTTTTTATTTCAAGGATTAGAGACAGTTTTAGGATCTCAGGGTACCCAGAGAGCTTGAAGTCACAGCTGTGAAGGAGCTAACCTGGTGGGGACTGTGACATGTGGGGAGGGAGGCATTTGCTTCTCTACAGCAGGGCCACCTGATTGCAGCCATGAGGACATGTTGTCTCAGAGTGGCAGGTATTCCTGTATTGCCGAATAATCCAGAAATGCAAGTTCTGAGGCCAAATATCCTAACATTTAAACATTGACAACTAATTTAGATTCTTTAAAATATTGTATAAACTGCACTGAAATATCTGCAAGCTTGGTTTTACTCTTGACCCCTAGCTTGTGACTTTTGAGTGTGCAGTTCTGGTGACTCTGGTGAAGGGATGAGTCCACTCTGCTGGTTCAGCTGGCTGCTCTCCTCTAGCAGGAAAGGTGATGTCTAGATCACTGTGCACCAGAATCGCATTCGAATTTGTCCAAATCAGCCCTTCCTCATAAATAAGATACAAGTAAATTGGTAGTGTTATGGATTAGGAAGCCCAGTAAGCATTCTAGTAAGGTTTAGATCATACCATGCTAAAGACTAACTGAACATCATCAGGCCCATCACTTGAATTCTGCCACACAGTGAGAGAAAGTTTGTATTTGTAAGTGTGTTACAGGGATGTCTTCATCCCCTTCAATGAGATCAGCTGGTCTGGTCTGCCCCGATGTTACAGAGATACGGAAGACCTCAGAGGGGTTGTGGCTTGTCAGTCTGTACACGCTTGGCAGTGTCAGGCAATGTGGTGAAAATACCAGTAGCCACATGTTTGGCCACACAGCCTCGGCTGACTGCTGCTGGGGAGACTTTCTTAGGGCCTCTCCTTGGGGAAAAGAATTAGAAGTTGTGCTATTGCCATTACTTTAGTTACTGCCAGGGCTCCTGCTCTTGTGATGTTAGCCTTAGAAGTTCATGGAGCCTGCTCCCCATGAAATAGTCCAGGGTATATATGAAGCTACAGCATTCTTACTGAGTTAACAGGTGTTTATGGTATCTATATTTAAAAATCTGTTATTTTAAAGACCCTGTGGAAGCTATTACCCTTTTACACTGCAGGCCTCTGCAGTAGTCTCTGCAGGTGATGGGTTAATGCATGAGAATAGTTTCTCCTTCCCTGTTTAGTGGATGAGTTAGTGTATTTTTGATTGTAAGGATGGGCATGAATCTTTTCTGTGGTGACAAACACCACTTAGCAAGCTAATTATAATGTAAGCACTGTTACTTGAGATGACAGATACAGAGCATTAAAGATTACAATCTAAATTGTTAGCCAGAGTTACTGATTATACCTGGGAAGTAAAGAAATGGATCCTCAAGTGTTACTGTAGTGTGTGAACCACATTCCATTAGGTTGCTCTGATAGCTTAGGGTTTAATGCATAGGATTAAATGATAAGTTATAAAGAGTTTGTTTGAATTAATCTGCCAAGGTAAAGATTTAGCATTAAGTTCTTGGGAGATTTGTTTTGGGGGAGGTTGAGTGAGGGTAGGGAGAAAGGCAGTAAATTCAGTACTAGTAGAAGGAGAGGACTTAGGCAAATGTAAGTTTATTTAATTGATTTTTTTTTTCTCCCAGTACTGGGGATGGAACCCAGGGCTACTCTTCCACTGGACTACCTCAGCCTCATTTATTTATTTAAAGACAAAAATCTCACTAAATTGCTCAGGCTGGATTTGAACTCTCAGCTCTCCTGGCTCAGCCTCCTAAGTAGCTGGGATTACAGGTGTGTGCCATCAAGCCCAGCTTAAGTTGATGATTCTTACTGAGTTAACAGGTCTTTATGGTATGTATGTTTAAAAATCTGTTATTTTAAAGACCCTGGCCATCCTCACAGTGTCTTCTCTGAAGACCACTGAACACTGAGCTGATAAGTGTTTCTCTTATCTTTTTGGGCTTTTTAGCATTCCTTACTCAACCATTTCCATTAAGATTTCCAATGATGCTTTTGATAATTTATTGCAAAATGCATTTTTCGCAGAAAAGTCTTTATGGTCAGTTTGAACCACTGGAACATGAATGTGATGTTCCAGAGAGGTTCTACTTAGCCAGGGGCTCTTACAGCCAAAGAATAGTTTTCTGTTCAGCACCTAGGGGTAGAAAGTAGCAGGCGCTGGAACCCCTGAGCTAAATCCCTGGCCCTCCTTACATTTTTATTTTGGTGAGAAAGTAAAATTTTACCAGGGATGCATAGCAGTCAGGCATTTGTAGAAAATCTTCATGTTTCCCCTGGAACTCCAATTTTTCTGAAGACGAAAGAATATTACATTTATTGTGGGGAAATGCAGTTTTTATATTTCAACTCCATTTTAGCCTCCATACACTCTGGGAGGATTAACTTGACAAATGGTCTCTTATGATTCTAGTAAAATGCGTGTTGGTTCACTGAGTGCCTTTTTGGGTGAATGTTTTATGCCATGTGTTTTTTGTCTGTTTGTTGGTACCTGGGATCAAACTCGGGACCTTGTACTTGCGAGGCAGGTGGCGGTATGCCATGTGTTTTTTATGCAAATTATATATTAAATCCTGTATGCATGTATATTTTGAAGTGTGTAGTCAGTACAATTGGAAATAGGAGTGGTGAAAAGTCAGATTATGGCTGTTAACTCCCCCTTGTCATGATAGTAAGTGTCTTTGACTTTACAGTTGTTTGTTTGCTGGCATTCACACATGGGAGCTGCTTGGGTTCCCTTTTGCACCCCTCAGCATCTTAGGGGTCCTTTTCGTGTAGCTGGTAATTGTTTGGCTCCTCCCTTAGATTGAGAGCTCCCTTGGGTGGGGAGAGTTCCACAGACCCTAGGGCATGCCTGAGAGAATAGAAGTCCAGGAGCTGCTGGACCCTCAATTATTTTCATATGAATCACATATTGAAATAGTATTTTCAGTGTATGTGTTAAATAAAACACAACTCTTATGGAAGTAAAACAACAGCATAAAACCATCTTAACCATTTATTTTCAAGTGTGCAGTTCAGTAGTGCTCTGTACATTCACATTGTTGTGCAGCCAGTTTGGAGAACTTTTTCATCTCACAGAACTGAAACTTTATACCCGTTAGACGACTCCGCATCTGTCTCTTCCACCAACCCTGTCAACCACCATTGTATTTTCTGTCTCTCTAATTTTGACTACTTAAGGTAAAATCATAACAATACTTGCCCTTCTGTGACTTTCTTATTTCACATATCACAGTTTTTTCAAGGTTCATCCATATTGAAACATGTTCCCTCCTTTTTAGGGCTAAGTACTACTCCAGTGTGTAGGTGCCACATTGTGTTTTTCCATTCATCCATTAGTGGACACTTGGTCTCTGTCTTTTGCCTCTTGTGAGGAGTGCTGTTATGAATGTGTGCAAATAGCTTTTCAGGATCCTGCTTGTTCTAGTTACTTTTTCTCATTGCTGAGACAAAATACCTGACACCCAGAGTTAAAGGAGGAAGAGTTTGTAGAGGTTTCAGTCCATAGTTGGCTATCTCCAAGGCAGGGTGGCAGAAAGGCATCGCAGAGCAAGCAGGAGGCAGCAGAACACAAACAGCAGCAACAGAAGCAGCAGCAGCCCTCTTTCTGTCCCTTATATTCCATGCAGGCTCCCCACCTTTAGGGCAGGTAGCACTCACACCCAGGGTAGGGCACCCTTAACCCCAGCATCACACACTCTAGATCCAGCCACCCCTGAAAAGCATGAGGCTTTGGGGGGCATTGAGATACAAGCTACAACACTGCTCTGAGTTCTGGATATGTACCCAGAAGACTGCTGGCTCATACAATAATTTGGGGGAAAATGGCATTTTTGTATTTCACCTTAGTGAGTCTTAAAATCTACAGGTTTGGCTCTTGTAAGTAGGTCTATAGGTACTTGGGTTTCTTTCATTGGGTTCTTGTAATTTTCAGGACATAGAGCTTGTTTATGGTTTGTCTTAGATTTATACCTAAATGTTTCACTTATTTGGGAGGATTTATTAATAGTAATATATTTTTATTTCAGTTTCTGTGTATTCCTTTCTAGAATATAGACTTGCAGTTTTGTAAATTGATTTTGTTTCCTGAAGCTTTGTTGAACTTAGTTCTAGAACTTTTGTTTCTTGGGCTTCTTGGAAGATCTGTGTAGATAGTCATGTAATCTGCAAATAGGGAATAGGGGCAATTTTATGTATTTGTTTATTTATTTATTTTTATTTTTCTGTGCATTATGTTTCTTTTTCCTGCCCTGTTGGCACTGGCTAGGTCTTCTGCTACTTATGTTTAATAAGAATGGCAAGAGCAGATATCCATACCTTGTTCTCAGTCTGAGGGGGAAAAAGCTTTCTATCTTTATCATTAAATTTAATCATGAACTGTAAGTATTTTACAGATACTTTTTAAAAAGTTTAAGTTTTACCTTTATTTGAAGATGGCTAAGGTTTTATTGTGAGTGGTGGTAGATTTTATAAAACATTTTGTACCATTTGCTATGATTGATTTTATTATATCAGCCTGTTG